ATGGGTACAATGCCTCACAGAAGGGTCTAGTGCCCTTTACTGACCTTCCAGTTGAGACCTGACAGCTGTAAATCTCTTTGGGATGCTCTACCTGAAGCACAGGATCAGGAAAAGACAAATGGGCAGCAGCTGTTTTTGAGAAGTCTGGTCAGAGTTAGAACAAATGGGGATGGTGGGAACTGAGCATTAACCATCTGCTTATTGTTGCAGATCTCATCCCAGGTTGTTAGATGGGGCACCCGCCAAATAAATGACTTTTTCTGGGGGAAGAGCACCAGCAAATTTGGGCTATGTGCAGACACTAGACTGTTCAAAACTGAAATACACCAGCCACGGGAGACTTGGGAGCGTGGTTAAAGAAAACCAAGTAAATCTGCAACACACTCACTGACAGGCGCATAAACTTTTCTTCATGCGTGCAAGCTTAAGGTGACCCTACCCCTGAAATTGCTGTTCTATCTCCCCAGCATATGTCTACATCTGAAAGGGCTAAGTGATTTGTGAAGTATTTTGACTGAGACAAAGGAACTACCTTATATGCTATTAGCCCATAGCAGCAACTATATAGAATATAGCAGGAGATGAAATCAAAGTGACTAATAGCTTTACTTTGCGGATGTGTTAGAAGTGTTTCCAGCCCTGTATATCTTCCTGCAATCGGACGTGGCATTAAATAGCATTCTCTCCTTATTCCCAGACTGCACTTCACATGAATCCTGGCCAGTTTCTCTTTGATAAAGAGCTCCACCCGCTGAGGCTCTCACTTACTAGCAGAAATGGATCCTAGCTGGGTCATAGATCACAAAGTCTGCCACATGCAGGCACACATGCAGGCCTTTTAGTCTTTAAGCACTTTCTCCCTTTAATCACATTAAAGCCAGGCCCTAAGAAAGACCTTTTGCTAATCTACCCCACTAAGTACAGGACACCAGGCAATTTAAAAAAGTTTTGGGGTTTTCTCCTTCAAAGACTCTAGAAATACATAAATACTTACACAAGGACTTTTTTGCTGTGACAAGGCCATTTGTAGCACTTCTTGTCTTAAGCAGCAACCAAATGTATAAACAAGGAGGCTGCATTTTAAATCCATCTGCAAGGTGACTATAACCAGAGCTGAAACATGTTCTGCTGAAGAGGAAGGAGCAATTGCTCTTGCTGTTTGAAAGAAGCAAGGCTAACAAGTGTAAGAGTGGCCACCTCCTCTAGGGGAAAGAATGAATAATTCGTTCTCTTAAGTGAAAGTCCCACACTCATGTTAAATTAGGTAAAACAGTGAATAAAAGGGAAAAGAAATCTTCTGATAGAAAGAATTTCTTCTGTCTTTCTGATAGAAAGAATTTCTCCCATATCTACACAACACTGAATGCTCTGCCCATACAACATGGAGTGTATAGGAATAGTGAGCTACGAGAAAGAAGACAACCAGGAATAAAATGCTGGCTTGGTGTGTATCCAGACCAATTACTGAAGACCTGTGCAGGGATCCATGGCCCACAAAGCAATTCCATTATTTCTGAAGCTAGAAGTAATAGAACCATACCTGTGAAGCATCAAGCTCACTCTAAAAGAGCTCTCTCTGCCCTCACAAAATGGGAATATTTTGTCAGACATTCAGTAGTCATGGTGTATGCCCCAGTTTTACTACTGAGGCGGAGAGATGTGTGAAAGGAATGGCCCTGTACCAAAAGGCAGAAAAAAATAGCTCATTTGCATCTAAGTGTTTAATCTGGACTTTACAGGCTCTTCCACACTGAAAAGAGACACAATGGAGGAAATTTTGGCTAAGGTAATAGGAAACTTCAGCCCGTGAACAGTAACTTGTAACAATGAATGGCCCTAGATGATTGATAAGTGTTACTTTTTTCATAGCAAAACTATTTTACTATTTTGTCTCACTCCCACTTCTGATTGACAATCTTTTCATAAAGGGTCTGATTCTTACTTCAAATAAGCAAATATCTTCACATCTATTTCACAATGGAACGAGGCAGAGGGGCTTGTTCACATGAAGAATTGGCAGGATTAAAGAATTTACCTTTACTGAAAAGCAACAGCAAAAATGAACTTGCCGCTTGGTTATTTATACCCCATAAGAGTCTTCGTCAGTTCTATATTCAACAAAAGGCATACACTTACAAAAGCAAGTATCAAGGCAGGTTAGGTGTTTTATGCACTTGCACTCTTTACCCTGCCTCTATATTTGTCCAGACTGGAAAATGACTGGATTGCAGCAGGGCTACCCCTTGATCAGGAACAGAGGCAGTGGCGTGTATAAAGGAAGCAGCTGTGATGCTCATCAGGAGCCACGAGTTTGGAAGGATGTTTGTCCCATAGTCCAGATTCAGTCACAGTGATGAAAAACATCCATGACTTCACCATACATGCCAAGCTACCAAACTCTGGCAGCGACTCCTAAAAACTCTGTGCCGCTACCCCTTTACTTCCTAGCACATTTATTGTCATGCAGAGATTAAACTTTCTTCAATTTTCTGATAAGCACAGTCAAGGACCTGAGACTCACAGTTTTCTGACTCCTTTTTTTTTTAGAAAACAGTTTTGTACATGTAAAACAGAGACTCATGTGCAAACAATTTTTTCTCATAGTTCTCTGGTTGTATTACAGTGTTATTAAGGTTTAGATTTTTTTTTTTAACATCACCTAAATAAATTTATGCATGAAGACAACGAATGTCTCCTTTTTTTTTCATAAATGACAGGCACATTTTGGAATATTCTGGAAGTATCCGTCATATGTGCTTACTCTCGCCTTATATTCTTGCCAAGACATTGGGTTTTGCCCACTGCCGGAGACAGAGTCGACATTTGGTCTATGCAGTACAGCTGCTTTTTTGTTCGTTTTTAAAAACAGAGCTAGCAAACAAATTCTGCATAAAATTCTCTTTGATTTTTGTTTTCTTTGAGAGCAAATGTTTAGGCTTCACTGCATTTTTAGCAATGTAAGTATTTTTTTTCTGAAGAGAGGAATTTAACACATTCTCCAATATTGTGTAGATATAGTGCTGACTCCAACATGAAAACTGCCGTGTCAGAACCACTGTTGAGGGAGCAGTAACAACTTTCCTCTCAGCAGTATGAAAATAGCACTGGTTTTGTGCTGCTGCAGATTTCAACATAGCGGAGAAATAAAAAATAATATTGTTTATATCAGCATAAATTTCTGTCTTCAGTATGCAGCCAGCTGTACATAAAAATGAGCAGAAATATAAGCAGAAACGAGCATTTACTTGAATCAGGTCTTAAGCAACCACACAAACATGTGCAGCTCGAAGTAGTGTTGACAGACATCTTTCTCTCAGGGCAACTTGCATTTGTCCAGACCCTTTCTAGCAAAAGGCAGCATGTCTAAAACCAGACATATTGACACAAAGTTTCTATGCTTCTTGGTTTTAAAGAATGTATAACTTTCTACCAGCAGAATTTATTGATGATTTAGTAAGCAGAGTATTGCACAAACAAGCCACTATTGCTTTTGGGTGATCGTACACACACTGAGGAAGACACCATTTTACTTTCAGCTGGGGTAAATGTATGATCTTAGTGCCTATTTGTACAGAAAGGCAAACAGGTAACTCAATTTACAAACAGAATTAAATATAATCCTTTTAAAACACAGTGAACTTCAGGCATAAGTATTTTTCTTAAAGCTGTAAGCATGATTCCAATGTCATTTGCATTTAGTTGCTTATTTGGTTTTGCATTTTCCTCCTAGTTCATGGTTTGATATGCCTGGCAAATTTTAAGTGATATGACATTTTGACTACAGATTGTAAGCATTGCTTTATCAAAGACTACAGCAACACTTACTTTACGTGTTACATACTTGCCACTCCCACTTTTTCTTTGATTTGCACTAAATTTGTTAATAATCTAATACTCTGTAGTGTCTCCATTCCACAACGTGTTCTCACAGCATAGTTGTGATCTTCACATAGCCATATTCCATGCCTAATGCTATGTTGCCATCTGTTGACCAATTTAGCGGTTGTAGTACTAAGACTGAAGGAAAAAAAAATCTCCAAAAGGTTTTTATAAGTTTAAATCTTAATTTTGTATTTACTTCATTTTCTCTATCTAGAAAAGTTATTAAAAAAACCATAACATTTATTAATTTAAAGAAAACAAAGAATTAGACCTTCAAAGACCTGCAAAGGCTACATAAGGAGACTGTCTAAATGCTAAAATAAATTGGAAATACTTTGGGAACTAAATTGTAAGGGAAACACAGTGCATGGAAGGAATTGCCTATCTTGCTATAGTGTTACATTTTTCAGTTTCAAAAGGTGTCCAAAGGGATAAAGATAATATTGCTGCGAAAAAATGAAAATAAAAAGGGGTCAAAGTGTTTACCATGTGATTCATTATTCATGTTTTTTTGGATCACTTTCAGTTTAAACAAGTGCAGACGAAAAACCAACAAGTTTGTATAGGATAGTATTTCAGCTGAATTTAAAAGGGTGCAAGAGTTACTTTTATCGGGATGTATAGTATCAGCACAGGCAAGAAATTCTTCATGACTGCTTCACTTGGCATCTGAAAAGACTATTTACCTCTAAATGACAGCATGTATAAAATAGAGTATGTATTACATTTTTTTGCCTCAAAGGAGATTTGCAGGATTAACTTCAGAAATACCAGAGAGGCCTAAAAATATTCTGATCATGAGCACCATATATAAAAAAGGACTGGTTTTATATAAAGCCATTAGAATAAAGTAATTTTAAAATAAAGTATTTTCAAGAATTTATACACGGAAGTCTATTTCTAAAAAAACCATGAAAAAACCCCAACTTTGATATGATTTGGTTTTTTCATACACAAAAAAAGTATGGATGGGCTTTATTATTATTAATAAAAATGAGAATGCTTTATATTTATACAGCAATATACAAATGAATCAACTCAGTGATTGCAATGCGATACTGACTTCAAGAACTTACATGGGTATAAGAATTTCATGCCATCTCTATTTAGTGACTTACCTTTGAATCATCCAGTTCCAGCTTTTTCAGAGACTTTCTGACATAACCTATGAAGGAGGATGATTTGGAGAAAGTTTTTCCAACATGTCGATCACTGCAATATAGCATTGAGATGCAGGCTTTTATACATCCAACAACAGAAATTTACACATTTTTAATTTAATTTTTAATTCAATTCTTAATTCAGGAGAAATAAATCAGTTAGACAGCTACTACTGCCAAGTTAGTAACAATTTCTCTTCCCCCCCTTCTACTGAAAACAAAACAAGCTAGCTAATACTTGAAGAAATTTCTAGACACAGCAACTGTACAATTGTACCATGGTTACAGTACGGTTATTATTTTACCAAAAAATTGGAGAGTTAGTTGAAGGTTGCTTTTAATTTCTCCCCTAATATTTTTATTTCTCTATATGAATGACAAAATTCTTATTTCTGCTGACAGATATTTCCTTCTACACTTCTATAATTCACTATAATGCTGCTGTAATTTATTTACCATCAACCACTGGACTGAGTAAATGCCAAATTGGAGTAAAATTTCACTTTTGCTTGTTACCTTGTGTTCTTATCCTCACAATTTTTATTCCACTAAATGATGCCAGAATTCGCTCCTGTCTACAATTCAATGGCCTGCTTTTGAAGCCAGACAAAACTGTGGGTTGTTTCATAAACCATGTTAAAATAATGCATGAAAACTTAAAAAAACCCCAACATATAGGAGGACTGAATCCTAACAGGCCACTTATATTTCTTCTCTTCTCTTCTCTGTGTTTAAAATATCTTGAAGAAACAATGAAACATGAAGTTTTTGTAGTCTAAATTCTCTTTCTCGAACGTGTGCTAATGTAATTCCTCTTCCAGCTGTGCAGCATAGGAGTTAAATTTTCAGCTACAGAATTTTCAGCTACTGAATTACTTAAGAAGAAATACACTTTGCCCCCTCCAGTGAAATACTGAACAGAAATATATTATTTAAATCTTTTCCGCCTCTTTATTCTTAGTAACCCCCCTTCGTCCTCAGTTAAAGATCAGAATTAACATCTACTGAGGTCAGCAGAAAGACTTCACTCAGTGGCAGTTTACTCTAATGCTGTTTAGCTGGCAAGGACTCCCACTCATCAAGAATAATTTCTGTGGTCACATTTAATATTCAGATGCACCTAAACACATTTGGGCTGACACAGTCTGAAAATCAGTCAATAATTATGCTGTTATGTCATTCTTTGGAAGACGGCCATCTGCCTCCTAATCACAAACTACTTGGGGAAAGATACTGCCTGGCTGGGATGGAGCTAACTTCACAGCAGCCCGTCTAGTGCTGTGCTTTGGATCTGTGACTAAGACAGTGCTGGTAACACACCAATGTTTTGGCTATTGCCAAACAGAGATTGCACAGCATTGAGGCCTTCTCCGTTTCTCCCTCTGCCCCTCAGGCAGTAGGCTGGGGTTGCACAAGAAGTGTTGGGGGGAATACGGCCAGGACAGCTGACCCGAATGGACCATAGCAATATTCCACGCCACATAAAATTGTGCTCAGCAATAAAACTTGGCAGGGGGCAGAGTCTTTCTGAGGTAGCCATTCCAAGCTTTTATTTCAAAAGTATAACCTTAATTACTTCCTCTATATTGTACTTCCTTTAACAAATGAAACATACTATCATCTCACATTTTTCTTTCCTTTGCAATTTAGTAGCCATGATTTTGTATGTGATATTTTACATCATTTTAAAACAAACAAGCATTTCTTCTTTCAGGAGTTTGACCTTCTGAAGTGTAAGATGTCTGGCTCTACATTCAGCAAAAGATTTGGGGGAATCTGCATTAGCACTTATTTTAGATCAGAAGTGTACTTCTGAAGTGAATTTTCTGGTTTTCGCCACTTCTCACGCCTTGGTTTACACATTGTGGAATAGAATCAGAGCTCAAAAAATGGGTTATTTTCAAACTAAACTCAACTGGAAGGTGTGCTTCTGGATGAGCTCCAAGTGCTAATGGGCATACATCCCACAGAATCAGATAAATTCTAATCTAACTACGCCTCCACAAAAAGAGTATATTGCAGACGTCAGGTCCTCAGCACCAGCTCTCCAAACCCCATCCTACAAGGGTACAGTACTTGCCAGTGTAGGCATAGGCAGTAAGTAGCTCTTTACAGCCATGATGGCCATTGAACTTTCAGCAGTTTTTCTCAGGACAAATGGAAATGTCTTTTTGTGTTCTGTGGTATCAAAGCTGCCAGTACCTCTGCATAACAGGGTAGCCCAGGGTTGCGTTGACATTTTGCTGAATTCCCAGTTAATTCTCTGATGAAGATATAGTTTACTCAGGCATTCAGTACCAAAGAGCACCTATTTCAGCTATGGGTAAAGGAAGGGCAATACATTTGTGATGTGGATTTAGGATGAATAATTCTATCCTGCATTTTAATACCAGTATGTATACACAGTCTGATAAAACTGATTCTTACACTCTTCTACTTTTAAGAAATACTTTCTCTACAGAATACAGGTTGAAGAGAATCAGATCGTTCGTTCATACTCTCTGAATTCGGAGCTTCCTACCTTTTGGTGACACCATAAATTTCTTCTATAATAACCTGAAGAACAGCTCGATAAAACAATGATTCTGTAGGCAGCTGCAAAAAATTTTACAACAGCAAGGATTTAAAATTGGCATTGAAATTAAGATCAGAGCAACAAAACCAGTATTGGCTTCCTTAACTACTTATTGGCTTCTATTCTTTACAATCAGTCATAACAGGTTTAAGAGGACAATTTACTAATGTTCTTGCATCCAGTTAAAATTACATTTTTGGGTCAGATTCTAACATAACCATGAATGCAAGAAAAAAAAAGAAACACAAACTCTGAAGTAAAAGTTCAATGGTTGACAGAGGGAAAATGAACAGAGAAAAAACGTACTGATGATGATCCAAATTCTACTATGCAAACTAAATACAACAATTTACCTAAGTTGTTTTAAAGACAAAAGAAGTAATTCCCTAGCTGAATCATCATACACTGTAGTCTGAACCATGCAGAAAGTACTATGCTCATAAAACCAGAATACACTGAAAACGTCTTATCTTTGTGTATGAAAAATCCGTTTGCATAAAAAGTTAATGCTTACCAATTAAAAATTCATGGCAAAATGCATTTACAGTAAAAGACTACTGGAGTCAGTGGGCTTACATATGGGAAGAAGAGGTCTCAGCTCTGCCTTTGAAATATTTGCACGGTTGGTGTCCACCATCCCCACAAGGGTAACTTGCACAACAATAATTCAAAGAATTAACAGGGAAAATATATACAGGGATTAAAAATGAGAATGATGATGTTTCTAACAGGTTCAAACTTTTGTCATAACAATTTCTATTTTTACATTAGTTGATAAAACACTGGGATAGTGATCCAAACCAGGGATATCGGAAGGACATTTGTACTGAATTTATGTGTTAGCTGAAAGATAGTGAAAGAAGATAGGAAGGGCAGTTTGATGCCTTAAATTTTAAGCTACGTGTTTTTTTTTTTTTTCCCAGACTCTTAATTGTCAAAAGAAAACAGATTTGCTAAGTACAATCACAGCAATAAAAATGTGATTTCATGATGACACATGCTATCTATCAGGATTTGATGTAGTGTACGCTAGTATTTTAGATTCCAGAAACACGGCAGTTCAATAAAAGGTCATGGATTAAGAGCGTTCAACAGGGAAAAACACATTTTATCTTAGAATGGCTAAAATAAACAATATTACTTACCATTTGGCCAACTGCAACTCGCTCCAAAGCCTGTAAGAATGAAGGAATTAAATTGCTGATATGTTTATTCTTTATCAGGATCATTTTTTAAACACATTGTATAAAAGTCAGAGGAGATGACATTTTAAAAGATTAATGGTGTGACATAACTCGAGCTTGCACACTTTAAAGTGTGAATAACTTTAGGGACTCATAATCAGCTCACTCCTGTTATTTTGGTTTATAGGAGAAACAATGACAATCAACTGTATGGAAACAGATGCATGCAAAATTTGTTTGTTTTTCTTAGTATTGTAAAAGAATTTCAGAAGATTACTTTTTGTGAAAGTGCTAAAAAGAATTGAATTTTTTTTGAGTCTGTTCCTACCAAAATACAAATAATTGACTTTGCATATTCAACTATTTTAATGTAAATATTAGTTCAATGTACAATGTCTTTTAAAAATTTTAGTCCCTAGTATTCAGATAAATTGAAGTTCTGTATGTAAAGTTAGATAAAAGAAAAACTTTAGAGACTACAGCTTAAAATACTGTGCATTATCTTTCACTAGATTCTTCATACCATAAATTCTGACGTAGGTGTGGGAGTACTTGATTTTTATGATCGATAGTGACAAAGAATGACAAATAATTAGAAGCATGGAATATTTTTCCATAGTTGAAAAGATACTGTGCCTGTAAAAATTTCAACTGAGTATTAAAGGTCATAGTAGAAACATGGACAAAAACTCAGTAAATCATCTGACACTACAACAAATTACAGAGCAAACCAAAAATGCCTCCCCACTTATGGGGCATCATCACCTTTAGTCCTCAAACTCCACTACAGTAAATAAGACTGCTTGTCTCTGAATCACCCAGTTCTCCTTCTCCTTGTTTTAGAACTGATCTTGTATTTCAGACTGTTCTCCAAACACGGTCCAAGTAGTTGCAGTTCCTCCATTCACGGCTTTGGCCAACTATCAGGTTTGACTTCTGTTGTACAAGCTACAGCTCTCACACCAGCATATATCTGCTGCTGCTTAGAAGATGGATGTGGGTTCTAACAAGCATTGTAAGGGTCTGAAACTGAAACTCTCACCCACACCCCTTGGCCCTTGGCACTTTGATCAATTTGAATGACATGCAATAACGAAATGCTGAGTGTCACTGCTCAGCAGACTCAGCTTCTCCTAGCCAGGCATTATTCCTAGGAAGATGGGTGCCTAGCTGCACTGCCCTGTCTCCCTTGTACCTCCTAGAGGGCAAGGAAAATCCTAGTCATGAAAAATGCATAGACAGAATTACAAACATAGTAACAGCAGAAATATCTAGTGACACAGGAGAACTCTTTGCCTTTTGCGAATGTTTAAATAAAAAAAAGTTTTTAACTGCCAAGTTTCTGTGATTTCTGTGAAATCTAATCTATATATACATATATGTGGCATGATCAGTACTGTCTCTTGGGGGTCATTTGCTTACAAAATTTATCTTCCTACCATTGTTGAAAAACAGCCCAAACTTTTTCTTTCCAAAAGAAATGGACTGGGAAAGGAAATAGCTAATGTGTCAGCTAAGGAAGAATTGGTATTGTATGACACTGACAACAAAAAAAGAGAAAAGGCAAATCCCTTTTAGAAAGTGCTTTTTGTGATAAGTTTTACAGCAGCATCTCTAAAATGAACAATTTTTTCTTGCATCTTGCCAAGAGTAACACATTTAAACCTTACAATTACTAAACAACTGTCCTCCTATACTTTCTCCTGATAGCATTTAATTATCACGTTAGTTCAAGTTTACATAACCTTGATACATTAGCCTATCCTGAATCTTTAGTCTACACTGTTCTCCGTAACAGAGGTACAGAGCTAGCAGCAGAGGCTAGCCAGCACCTGATGTGATTCATCTTGATGCTAGAAATTAAAAATTAGTAGAGGAAAAGAATAGCGTTCTAACTGAAACAGTACCTATCTGTTTTTTTCAAATTAGACAACAGTTCATCATTCTGTCTTGATGAGGTTAGGTCTTTAAAAGCACTTCATCTCTTGGTGCAACGTTAAAAAGGTGTTTCCAGTCTCTTAAGCCACATGGATTTTAGAGCTCTCTTAGCTTTTGGAATAGGCAGGTTTGTTTAGGTTATAAACAGTCAGAACATTCAATATTATGAATCATGAAGGCGTTGGGGGAGTTACTGATTGCAGTCCTTCTACAATTACCTTGTTCCCCCCTAAGTCCTTGGCCAGGAACTATTATCCTGAGGGGTTACCTTGTTTAGGTTTCAACGAAGGTTTGGCCTCTCTGTCCACTCTTAAAATACATTTCTGTCAATACTCATTTTTTCATGCCTTCAGCAAGTATAAAATATATAAAGCTGGAAGGTCAATACTATTTTTTTTTAGATATAATTCATCATGCTTACTACATTAATGATGTTATTCTGTGGAGTCTTGGATTAAAGTCATGGCTTTAGGATTAGAAGCCAAAAACAATGAATCCTGTAACATCTGGATAAAGCTCTCAGTAGGAAAAAGAAAAGAAGGTGAACCATACCAAGCATGCTGACATTCTAGCATTGCGACCACAGCACCAGCCCTTGTCCTTCAAGTACTGACACATGGGAAATCCCCACACTTCCTCTGGGCATTCTGCAAAATGGAGAAAAAAACATAGGCAAAGCTACTTTTCTCTTACTTACAGAATGCACAATGTATTGAGCAAGATGAACAGTAGTTAACGGTAGCAGAAACACTTAACTCTAGTAGTCCAGTACCAAAACCCATGCTAATGTTATAACAAAATGTCATTTCACCATAACAAATGTGTTCGTTTTATGCTGAATTTATGATAATTTTATATTTTCCAAAACACTTTTAAGTGTGTGCCTTTTACAAAAAACCACTGGAAAAAAGTTCCAAGTGACAAGAGAAGTTTGCACTACTCATGGCACCCCATGCCATGCCATGGGTCACAAGATGTAAGTCGGGCAGTTGTTCAATTAACAGAACTTCAGTATGTTTCTCACTGTGTTCTTCTTCTATCATAAACGTCTTTTAAACACCACACAGGACAATGTGTATTTGTTTAGTTCTCAAGGCCCACGCTTTGCTGTGAGGCAGAATGTTTGTTTTCCAGAAAAGAGCAGCTGCAAGGCTCTTGCTGTTTTTTTTTCAAAACAGAGAAGCATTTGCATCACAATCTGTGCTCAGTTTGTTGCAGTATCATTTATATTTTGAATAACACCACCATTCGTCATGCTTAACAGTAATGTAAATGTGGGAAAACTAAAGTACAGGGAATACTTTATAGATGTTCATAATATCCAGTTTTAAATGTAGACAAACTCTACAATGTTTTGAATTTTCATTAGCACATTTGTCAGCTGATTTTTTAGAATGCTGAATAAGAAGTACTACTTTCTTTGAAAAAAAACAAACAAATTGGCTAGGATCCTGGCTTTTTAGCATAGAAAAATGACTTGAGCGTATTTAAAGATAAAACATGTAATGGGGTTAAACAAAGGACAGCAGAAATACGACTCTTCAAATTTACCAACAGTCTGAGACACATACATGTAAGTAGAATTCATGTCACGAAAGTTAAGCAAAGAAAAAGGGAAACAGGAAACTATAAAGGATACAACCTCCCTCCTCACAGAGAAAGCTCTTGGGTTTCTAGCAGTAGTCCCCAGTCTCTGCTGATGTCTAGAGACTAACAGCAAGCAGGTAATGTTTCGCAGGCAACCTCACACCTTGCTCTCCTTTTAGCCCTGAGAAATGTTATAGCCTCTTAGGGGATGTATACTGGTTTGAGGACCATGATTTAAGAATAGGACTTTAATTTTGGATAATTAGCAGAAAGAAAAAGAAAATTCCTTTAGATATAAAGATGAAATTTGACAAAACAGACTGCAACTGGCTTCAGCACTAGGAATGCACTAATAATTTGTAAGTGCCTCATGACAAGCTATAAAACATAAATTAACTTCAAGTCTAATTATTGAGTACATGGAATAAAACTGAGTATTTCTACTACAGGGATGGTCATAAGAGCTTATTAAATGTATTTTTTGCAAAGGAAAGAATGACTGCCATGGTTCCTATTGTATGATTCACACCAATAAGTCTTTCGAATACGTACGTTAAAATATTTCAAAATAAGAATTTGCAAAATGAGTTGGAAAGATGAAATCATTGATCTTTTCAAGTAATCCTTTCTAATTTACACCCTGTCCTCTAGGCAAACTAATCAACCATGCAAGTTAAAGTTGCTACCTGCTGAGCCACAATCTTAATATTAGCGCGCTGTACTCATGCATAATTCTGAAGAATTTATGACACCTTTGAAAATGATAATCAGGCAAAGCACTATCCTCATTAAAATTATTGAAACTGTAAAGTTCAAAAAAAGAGAGGGAAACTAATGATCTAACTTAGACTTTTTTGTGTATATCCAAAGTTGAGCAGATATCTATAATAGTGCCTTGAGTGTTATTTATTTTTCCATATCCAATCCACTGTCAAGCACATTGCTGATTAAAAAAAATAATTGTCAGATGAATATATTCCTATAAAGTTCATATATTTATCTGCTACATTTTAAAACCCTGGAAATTCTTTTAATGCCTGCAACTATTTTCAGATATACTTGATATTATATAGTTCACTAATTACCATATTGTCCTTCTATGTGACAACACAGCAGCTGTTTTAAACTGTGTAAGTCTCCAAAAACATTCAAGCAACCTTCAAAGTATGGGTATTCTGTGGAAGATTTCACAGCAAACAGCTCAGGTGTTCAACAGCGCATGAAGAAATCATGTTATAATCCAGCAGAGGAGCCAATCAGACAGAGTTCCTTCCATGAAAAGTTAACAAACTGGGGAATTCTAGTTAATCATTTGATGAGCTGAACTGAAGCTATGCTGGGCTATTATCCTAGAATCTATTAGTTAAATAGCTATGACTTTACCTCTAAGCTAACCTCTTAAAAAGTCTAGATCACACGTTTAATATAATGATTTGCTGCAAATTTTGCACTAGAATAAATCATTGCAAAAAAACCCAGTAATTGTTATGTTCTAGAACAAAATCTATAAACCAAACTATAATTTTAATGTGAATCACTTACAGAGAAAGAGAACATAGGAAACACGTCAGAATTAAAGCAGCATCATAAGCAACATGAAAATTGTGGATGCTCCCTCCCTGGAAGTATTCAAGGTTGGATGGGGCTTTGAGCAACCTGGTGTAGTGGAAGGTGTCCCTGCTCATCGCAGGGGGGTTGGAACTAGATGGTCTTTAAGGTGCCTTCCAGCCCAAGCCATTCTGTGATTCTCTGAACATGAAAAGTTGTATTGCAGTTCAGCTTTGTGTAATAGGATTTTTCTTTGGAAACCTACACAGATAAAATACTGATTAAGGTAGCTTGAAGATGCTTGCTGTTATTGTAAACTGTCCCCATAAATTGGATACATCTGGTAGAAGTCAGAAAATATTCTTATCAAAGTAATCCAGTTACACATAGCAGGATAAGACAAAGTGTAGATTACACAAAAATGTATAATGCTCAGTAAAACAGAATAGAACAATTCCAGTCACTAGTCAAGGAACAAATTCCTATTATTTCCCTCTGACTGAATTTAGTAATATTCATAGTTTCAGGGAAGAGTTGTTTAAATGTATATATTTAAACAAACTAATCCAGCCCTTACCATCCTTTTTTGATAGTAAAGAACGTTTTTCTGGTAGCTATACCATCTCCTGTCCTAGGAAAGGATTTTGATAGGAACTTCCCAAATTTTCACCAACTTTTCCCACTACAATTGTTTCACCTCTTTTGAAAAACAAAGGACATTCATGGATCTTAAAACGTAGGTGGAAGAATCCTTTTAACTATTCACATACTTTAAGCAATCCTTCAATGGATTTACCAACTCTTCCTGTGATCACATAGATGTCTCATGACTCACCCTTCAGCAGCTAATTTCTGACGCTCCTCTAACAGGCAGAAATGTTACACATTTTGAAGAGAATACACTACATGAAGAAGCTGTCTTGGGTTTATTACATACTGGAAATCCTATGGAGGAGATTGACACTTTGGGAAACAAGTGCAAATACATCCAGATGCCAGTCACAACTGAAAAATATTCATAGAATTTTTCACTCAGTGCTGTTTAGCCAAAGGGAATACAAAGCCTCAGGCCTATATCGGTAAAACATTTTAAATTTAAGTAAATGTAAAGTCTCATACTTTATCATCAACTGAACAAGACTAAATCTTCTATAAAGTATGTCAGATTACCTCTCCAATTCTGGAAACCAATACTACTATTTTTATTTTTTTTTTTTAATATTTTGTCAGAATTAAGTACTTATTTCTCAACTTAGTCCTGGAAGTTGTATGCTACTTCCTGTCCTCTAATATTTAGTCCTTTTTTCTAAGATGTTCAGGAAACTGCTCTTTTGTAAAGAAAGTGGACTTTCATTTTGTGTAATTTTTGTAATACTGCTGTAATAGTAGCTGTATATACCATTTGGAGCACCTGTACTATTTTGAACGTTGTAAAGGATTTTCTCCCTTTCTATTCAACTTCTAAATGAAAAAAATGGCAGTACACATGGACACATTGTACTGAGTAGTAAAAAAACGTAAGTCACAACAAATATATATTTATAATTATATCAACCACAACTTCCCTCATCATGATTTAATTCTGTCTGGATACAGCGAAAAGCTTCAGGAGGACCTTATTGTTCTTACCATCCTATTCACAGACCCAACCATTAAGACAGTAACTCTAGCCCTGCCAAAACCAGCACAGACTCTTACTGGCTCAGCATTGTTTCAAAGAATTTTTTTAAAAGAGTTGTTTAACTAACAAAACAATTAAGTGTAGCTAGGAAACAGGATTTCCAAAATATAGAACACTGAATGTTTTCTATTTATGTTTCCTTTTTTGGTAGTTATAGAAAAAATATCTGGCAGTAGAAGATTAAAGGATTTTACTAGCTAATCCTTCTGTATGTGCACAGAGGTTTCCAAGGAAGTTCAAGAGAATGGAACAAGCTCTCCACTATTTTTAATATTAGGCCTTCCATAGTTCTTCATCTCTAAGCAAGATATTACAATTTCTAGTGTGTTAGCATTTAAAATTCACTTTGCACAGCTTTAGGTCACTATCTAGTTTCTACGAAACAACAGGACCAACAGGTTTTATTGTTAGCAGACAAGTAAGTTTAACTAGGGTTCCATGTGGTCTTGCAGTTTCTTCTTTATCTTCCTTTGCTAACATTTCACAAAACCGTGTTTGCATTTAAGCTTCTCATCTTTTTACTTTCTTGCAGTTCCCAACTGTTCTGAACTGCAGTTGCCAATATAACAACTAACTAATTATGTTTTCTGCTTCACCTTCTGGAAGAGATAGTTTTATTGAGATAACATATTGAATGATATTTGTTAAACTCATGCTGGCAGAAACAATCCAAATTTTATCACAAAACAATGCCTATCCCAATGGTCAATGGATAATTTACGGGAAAAAAAAAAAAACAAACAACAGTTTTGTTTCACTTTTGTGGTACAGTATAGATGATTATAATGTCTGTTTTGAAAGTTTTCATCTGCTCTTTAGAAACAAAGTAAC